GTCATCGGATGCTGGAGTCATCGCCCTCTGAAAAAGCTGTGTTTTAAGAAATAGAAGATAAGCTTGAAGGTATCTGCAAAGGAAACTGTGAAATGTGACAGCAAATTGGAAACAGAATGAAATAAAACTTCTAGAAATGAACAGAACTCTAATGGAATGAGAAACTCAGTGAATGAGGAGAAGCGTGTATTCGAATGTGAAGAAAAACACCTCAGTGGGTGGATTTAAGAGGAGACTGGGTAAAACTGAAGAGAAAACAAACGGGAAGACATAGAGAAAAACTTATACATGAAGACAAATAGAAACCACAGAGAGAGAATAGAGAATATAAAAGTTTTATAATTGGAGTCACAGAAAGAGATGGGAAGGGCAATGAGCAAAGGAGGAATTTGAAGTTAACGGCTGAGATTTTTCCATAGCAGTTGAGGTACCAAACTACAGATTTATGAAGACTAGTGATTGCAAGTAGAATTGTTTTTTATTTTTATTTTTTAAATTTTTTTTGAAATTATGTGCTTTCACCCTTTAAAAAAATATTTTATTTATTTCTTTTTAGAGAGGTAAGGGAGGGAGAAAGAAGGAGAGAGAGAGAAACATCAATGTGCGGTTGCTGGGGGCCTTGGCCTGCAACCCAGGTATGTGCCCTGACTGGGAATCGAACCTGTGATGCTTTGGTTTGCAGCCCGAGCTCAATCCACTGAACTATGCCAGCCAGGTTAGAAGTGTTTTTTAAAAGACCCAAACTTAGATATGTCAAGGTGAAACTATAGAAAACCATCAACACCATGCACCTTCACTGTTTGTTGTCATCTTTGTTTAATTTCTAGCACATGAGCTCTTTGAGGACAGAGACGGCAGCATTTGCAGTGCCTGCCACCCCACTCCACTGACAGTTGGGACCTTTACTGGGCTGCCTCCCAAGTCTCAGGGGCTCCCGTCACCACTTCCACAGACTCTCGATGTAGGTTTCCGTGGCTCTCCCCGTGATGCTCTGATTCTTGCTTGTGTGGGGACAGGTCACCATGGTCAGCCCCAGGGTCTCTGCAAACAGTCGCTGGCTGGCTGTCTGCTCACTACTCCTGTTTCCTTGGTGAAACTGTGATGCCAGTGCCCACCCTACCCGTGGTACGAGGCTGCGGCCTGGACCACGTGAGGTAACGCATGCGAACACACTGTGGAAACTCTGGCACCATGCGGTTTCCTTAGCTTTATTTCAGAGAAAGAGAGGGGTTTGTTTGGGCGGGGGCTCTGTGAAGAAGGGGACTCGTCGGTGCCCGCGCCTCGGCCCTGGCAGGGGCTGGACGTGAGGTCCTGCAACGGCCGTCAGCACTCACTGTGCCTGGCAGACGTGCAGCGTAGCAGGTGGCTGTAACGTGAGTGTCACCTGCCCCTGTGAGGACTTGCGTTGTCATTTCTGCATTTCACTGGGGAGAGGGGCCCATGAGATACGTTGTTTTGGTTGATTTTGAGAGATCTGAAGGGAAATGTTTTCATTTATGAAAAACAATTGCAGTTTTCATTGAATTTCTCTGGAAATTGTAAATTTCTGTGGCCCCTCATTCAGAGATGGAAAAAGCCTAGATTTGTCAGAGTTTGTCACTCTTGTGATTGGATGGAGTGAACCACTCTTTTGCCCACTTCCTTTTCTCTTCATGTTGCCCCTGCTTAGCATCGCAGCTAGTCATGAAAGAAGGGGACCGATGACTGGGCAGTAACGGGATTCGCTGGCGCAGGACCAGCCGCCCCTCTGTCCGCCTTGCTGCTCTCCGCGTCCGGGCCCGGCCCGCCCAGCGCTTGTGGCCCTGACCTGTCGGTGGCTGCAGTGAGTCTCTTCCTACTCCTCGGCCGCGCCAGGCCCTGCCACGGCTCCGGGCCCTCGCACGAGCGCCGGCCTTTCGCTGGAAAGCCCTTCAGCTTCCCCATCTCTCTTCAGGACATCTGTGCACCCCCCAAGCCCCAGGTCACTTCCTCAGCAAAGTCCTTTACTTCCTTCCCAGTGGCGGCGGCAGAGCTCTCCTTCCCACGGGAGCACACAGCCGCGGAGGAGCTCCGTGCCCTTGGCTCAGCAGGCTTGGGTTCGAATCTCTGCCCTGCAGCTTGGGCTGGAGAGAATGAGTACGTGTGCAAGTTCTCAGCACGGACATTGTATTTAAAGCCACAGCCCAGATCTCTCTCTTTGAGTTCCAGACCTTCGTGTCGAGTTGCCTCCCAACATTACCACTTGGAGCTCTCACAGTTGGCCTCTCAGATAGAGCCACCTCTGAAACAGAGCTCCTGATGTTCACCTTACTCTCGAGTCATTCCTGCGTCAGTAATGATGCCTCCTCCTTCATCGGCCCAGCTGCGGAGGCTGAAAGGCTGGAAATAAGCCTAAGCTGTCATACCAGATTATCACCAAAGTCTATTAGATCAGCTCCAAAATAGGTCTTAGACCATTCCTTTCGACCCCATCTCCAGTGCTTGCGTGTATCCCCGACGTGTGGACCACTGCAGGGAAGGGCCTGCTCCGCTCTCACCTCGGGCAGTGCCATTTTCTCGCACAGAATTCTTAGCAAGCGTCCCACTGTGTTTAGGTTTAAATTCGGGATTCTTAAGTCCTGGAAGGCTCCACCTGATTTGACTCCATCTGCCTCTTATTCTCATCTCCTGTCGTGCACGTTTTTGCTCGCTGTGCCCCAGCCACGTGCTCTCCGTCTCCCTGATTGTCACAAGAACTTCCCACCTCTGCGTCTTCCCCAGTGGCACCCCCCTCCCCCCCAGCCTTGGCTCCTTCCCCCATTCCTGCACACACCGTCTTCGTGGTCTCAGCTGGAGTGTCACGTCCACGCACGGCCTCTCCCTGACCGCTTGACCTAAATCATGCGTCCTCTCCTCTTCTTCCTAAGGGGCTTTCCTTCCTAGCATTCATCACAACTTACAGCCTTAGCTTTACTGAGTGATTATTTATTGGATTTCACTCCCACATTAAGGTATATGCTCTGTAAGGTCTGGGGCTGTATTTCTTTCATTCACCACTGAATCCTCGGTGCCCAGTGCTCAATCAACACGCACGGAATACGTGAGTAAATACGTGATCTTGCGATTAAACAATGCAGTAGATTCTCTCATTAACTTGGCAGCTTTGCTCTTCATTGTGGCGAGATGCAGTTGTGGGAAACCTATTAAGGTGATTCACCTTTCCAGCCTGGCATTGTGTTTCTTCATATTTATCGAACACATCTGTGATGCTCACCCGCAGGGCTGAAAACGTAGTTTAATTTGTCAGTTAATTTATTAGCCGTATTTCTGCCAGGACATTCTTACGAACACAGAACCTGAAAAGGTCACACTCGGCTGTGATGTCGGAACATCACGGCTGGGCCCGCTGCTGTGGCTTGCCCTCTTCTTTTGGATACAGCCTGGTGTCACCTTTGGGACTGAAGACTTGCTTTTTGTTGGGTGGAGTTTAAAGCAACAGTCATAGAGTGGAGCCATCGGTGACTACCCCAGGAAGCTGTATGCCCAGGACTTGGGGTGCTGTGATAAAACCCTCACTGCCCTGTGCTGACCGCCAGCTCATAGACTGAGAGCTCAGATACTAGATATCTAGTAGAGAGTGCTTGTTCACGGTAATTCCACGCTCCTGATCTTTCCCACATTGATACCTTGTTCTGCAGAACACTGGCAAGACACGTTACGGAACAGATCCACAACTTGTGTGGTTCTTCTTCTCCCGAAGAGTATAAGAGATGTTGCTCTGAAGTAGCCAATGAATTTAGAGTTCTGAACTACGGTCTAAGATAAAAGATGAACTTGGATGTTGTCCCTCTTTTACTGATGAACAGGGTGATCAACAATGGGAAAGTTTTTGTTTTTTCATTTTGGAAAACAATGAGAATTTTGCTTTCAGTGGGCACAATATAGGTGTATTTTAGCATAGATGGGAAAGCAGACTGTTGGCCACTCCTGAGCCTCAGCAGGTCAGACCGTGTCCGTGTTCCCAGGGGATGCCCGCAACGGTAAAAGCTGGCTTTAAGCTGAGGCCTTGCTAAGAGGCAGCTGGTTCTGAAAAGGATTTATTTATTTTAGTCTTGGTAATGTCTCAATGACGATAAGTACAAGTCTCTCTTAGCTCTCTGGAGTGGGTCCCACATGAATTGGTTGTGACCCTTAGAATCCAGAAACTCCAGTATAATTGGCTAAGAATACTTTGTGGTGTGGTGGAACTCTAATGTAACACATGAAAATACAAAGTATTAAGTGTTCAGAAGCGTGTAATTTGCTGCTTTCGTTCATGAGTGGTTTTAGTAGTTCTGCTACAGAACCTAACTCCTTTACTGGGGAGATGTGGTCTCAGTTTCTGGGGTGAATGTGCATTTTATAAGTTTTTTTTAAAGAGAGGAAATTAAACATTAAAAGACTTTAAGTACTTTTCTCTTTATATAACGTCACTAAGAAAGCCAGGAAAATCAGGGTTGGCATTTTAATTTATTTATTTAATAAATATAATCTATTTTCCACCATTTTGTTTGTTATGGCTGATACCAAAGTACTTTTAAAAGTTCACATTTATTTTGATTCTGTTTTATTTCAGCAGATGTGCATAACAAAATTAACCTATCGCTATTCTTCATTGTGGGCAGGGGCAGTATTTACCATCTAGTTATTTTGGCATTTTGACACATAGGCAGTTGAGTTTAATTCAGGCTAGTGAGATGCCGTCCGCACGTGCGATGCCGAGCACGTGAATAGTGTCAGACAGGTACAGTGTGGCCTGCTGAGTGTGAGCGTTAGGGCGCGTCGGTGATGTGGTTGCCCTTAGCCAAGTCGCTGGACCACCGGGCGCCCGGGTTCCCGTTTCTATAAAGCGAGCAGTTTGGAGGTAGAAATGGTGTCCAAGAATTCTTGTAGCTCTGAATTTAAAAATCCCATGAGTCTTTGTGCCTAACAGATTAGGCCTAATGGATGTGCGTGTATCTGATTCCTCCCCTTCTCTCTTTTTCTTCCTCTTTTTAATTAAGGAAAAGAGGATGGCGGTGCACCAGCTACGAGAGACGAGGGCACCTCCAGGCCACAGGACGCGAGCGCTGCACCGGAGAGGTCGCCGCAAAGATCCGCGAAGGTCACTCACTGCCTACAGATTTTCCCCACTGTCCGAGTGGCGGTCAGCTGAGCGGCTTGTCAGAGGTCTCTCGTGTGACTCTTAGGCGTGTAGCTGGTCAGCTAATCAGAACAGTCCGTGGAAGCAGGTTATCATAACAAGAGACTTTTTTAATGATTCTAAATATATACACATGTCTTCGTTTGCCTGTCTTTGGGTAAAGGGCCAAGGCATTTTCTTCCCGTGTGGGTATGTCTATTGATGTTCCACGTTATTTTTTATGTTTCACCACACTTGTAATGTGACATGTGTGATTTTTCAGTTTGGGTTATTTAGAGTGGAGTGAGAATTTAGGCATTGGTAAAACAATATGAATGTTGAGTCCTACTAGATTCTTACAGTGTTTGACTCCATTGGTCTTTCATTGTTGTCATGCCCATATCTAATTCACAAGTAAGCTTTGAAGAAGTCTTTCTTAGTTTTTCCAAAGTATTTAGTTATCACAGAAACAAAGACAATTGCTTTTGTATCCTGTTGTTTTGCACAATTCGGTTTTATTTTTTAATCACATACACTAGTGCCATAGCCAGCTGTGGGATCGAGCACAGCTGACCCCAACTGAACAGCTCGCGCTGGAGGGAGCGTGCGTGGCGGCGCGAGGCTTCTTCCCCTGCCTGAAGCACGGCGGCGTGTTTCGCCGGGGAGCGCGGCGTTGCCGCTCCGTCCAGCCAGTGGGTCAGGAGAGTATCTCCTGCGTAGTGACACGAAGGGTTTCTGAGTTACGTTGCATGCGCGTTACTGCCATTGCCCATCCAGTTAGCTACCTAGATCTTTATTTTAATAGATACTCTGAATACTAACCAAATGTCAGGCAGCATGCTAGGTGCGGAAGATCATAATGAATGGGAAGCCTGGCTCACGGACTTGGGTTTTGTTTGACCTGTCAGTATTTAAAAATGTTGACTTGGTAGCTTACATAAAAAAAAAAAAATTGGAGTGCTCACATAAAAAAATCAACCTTCTGGCGTCTCCTGACAAAACAAAACATCCAGCGGCGCTGGGCCGCATTCTGACATCACTTTGAGTCAGAGCTGGGGAGAGGCCACCCTCTGGAGATGGAGCTTGCACTTTGCCACTGCCCTCCAACTGTGCCCTCTTTCTGGCTGGGTTTTTTTCTTTTCTTTTTTCTTTTGGATAGTTTCTTAATGAATTCAAACTATAATTACAAGGCCAAACAGCACTTATATGTGAAACCTATGCTGTGGGAAAGCCATTTCTATGACAACTCACATAGGAATCACACGTGACGTGAAGCTGCTTTATACACTTCCTATGCTGTCCACTGTTGAAACAAGAAGCAAGGACTTCTGGTGCAGACGAGATGCCATAGATTCTCCTTGCTCTTCCCTACTAAGTACAACTAGAAACCCTGAGAAATAACAAGGAACAACCAAAGGGGAATTCTGAAAAGGGAAAGAGGGAAGGCAACCTATTATAGTTAGGGTCTCCTAACAGTGTAGCAGCAGGGGACTTCACAGTCCCCTCACCAGTGCGAGTATCAATTACGTGGTCACACCGTTTCAGTAAGAGGTACCTCGTGTGGACCTGGGAACACTGAGGGACCCAGCTAGGCGACCGCACAGCGACCTGCTGACTTGCGCCCAGTCCTGTACGCAGGTGAGCAGCATTGAGTGTGTCCTTGGTGTCTGCAGGTGGTTTACATCGCGGAGAAAAAGCATTCCCGGGCAGCAACTGGCTTCCTCAAACTGCTGACCGACAAGAACAGTGAGCTGTTTAGGAAATATGCCCTGTTTTCTCCCTCGGACCACCGAGTGCCTAGAATATACGTGCCTCTCAAGGACTGCCCGCAAGAGTTTGTGACCCGGCCTAAAGATTTTGCCAACACACTATTCATCTGCCGCATCGTGGACTGGAAGGAGGACAGCAATTTTGCCCTGGGGTAGGTGAACTCTGCGAGAAAACCACAGACCCCACACGGAACTCGGTCTAGGAGGCCTTTTTTAAAAAATTATGATTTCTTTATTAAAGCATAAGTACTTGATATAATTTGGTCCTGGTTCTTAAGAAATAGACCTTAGCTAGCACCTCAGGTGGTCACCTTGAATTGCCAGGCAGTCACCTTTTTGGTTTGTTTGTTTTTTTTTTTTAAGATTTTATTTTCAGAGAGAGGAAGGAAAGGAGAGGGAGAGAAACATCAATGTGTGGTTGCCTCTCGCGCTCCCCCTATTGGGGACCTGGCTTGCTACACAGGCATGTGCCCTGATAGGGAGTAAAATCGACAACCCTTGAGTTCGCAGGCCCACACTCAATCCCCTGAGCTGCACCAGCCAGGGCTGTTTTTGGTTTTTGACATAAAATATAAGCACATTGTTTTTCGTTTTTGTTTTTTTAATCCCCATCCAAGGACATGCTTATTGACTTTTAGAGAGCGGGAAAGGGAAGAAGAGAAACATCAGTGTGAGAGAGAAACATCAGTTGGTTGTCTCTCATACGCACCCCAGCTGGGGACCAAACCTGCAGCCCAGGTGTGTGCCCTAATCAGGAATCGAACCAGCAGCCTTTCAGTTTGAGGAATGCCACTCCAACCAACTGAGCCACACCAGCCAGGGCGAGCACATTGTGGCCCTCTGCATATGGCCTTGTATGTCATGAATCCTGGCTTGTTACTTGTGAACTGCAGAGTTCATCGCATCAGACAATCAGAGCCCTCCTTTCAGACACTGGTGTTAAGATATGCAAGTTCCAGGCAGGACACCCCAGTCTCCCATGCTTTAAATGTCAATAAGAAGTTGTGTCTGAATGTTGTGCTTTTTTGCTGCTGACCTTCAGAAGTTTCGCTTATGGCAGTAATGGTCAGCAGGAAAAGGGTACCGTATTTTTTAAGGAAGCTGTCAGAAAGCAATCTAACTTCATCCAGGTTATTTAAGGCACAGAGTATCATGGATAGCCACTTCATTTTGACATGGAAAACTGCTGGACCCAGCTGGTTGATCAAATGCTGTGCCTGTTTTCGTCTGACGGTATTCATTTGGAAAGAAAAGCAATCTCAAGTTTTAACTAAATCGTTAGCTCTTTATCATCGATGGTGTCTAGTTAATGCTTCACAGGAAATGAAAATAAAAGCATACAAGCTAGAAAAAAGTTTGTTCTAACACTTTTTGTCCATTTGGGTGACCTGCTTGCTGGCCCTGCGCGGGATGGAGACTCCGGGAACAGGACGCTGTGGGTTGGAGCCCGGCTCTGGGTGGGGGGCCGCCACGCGCCGCTCCGGGCAGGCCCACTCTGTGCCTAGCCCCTTGTGCCTCACGAAGTGCGCGGAGTCGAATCTGCGCGCCGCACCCAGTGCCATCTAAGAAACACTGCCCTGCGCCGCTCTTTCGGTGACAGGAAGGTCCTTGTGACTCACGGGATCTCAGAGCCACTCGGGAACAGTTGCACTTTCCTTTTCGCTCTCAAGTGGTGTGATTGCAGTGTCATCATTTTTAAGCTGAACTCGTTATCCAAACGTGACGTCAGCCCCCTGAGCCCTGAGTGGGCCTTCCCAGAGGCCTGCGGGTTTCTCCCCGTCAGCTCAGAAGGCCTGATAGCGCGTGCCACCTGGCTCCGCTGATTGCGGCCACCACCCCGGCCGGGCAGGGACAAGGGAGCACTTTCACATCACGGCAGGAAATCCCGCCTCGCCTTTTATCTGACCTTCTGCCTCGGCCATTGTGTGCGCTGGCCTGGACTTCCTTCCTTCCTTCTCAGGCCTGAGGGTGTGGTCAGGAGGTCTTCCGGCGTGGCGCTCTCTCGGTGCTCCAGGGCCTCGCGGGGTTTTTTAACAGCTGAGCCATTACTTCATCATCGAGAACTCTTTTTCTTGTGAGTACAATAACACTTGAACAGGGAGTCAGGCTTTTGAAGCAGTGAGGACATTTGCTGCATCTAAATAAAGAATATTTAAAAAATAACGATATGTTAATTATGTACTTTTAAAAACAAGAAAATTTGAAGATTCTCAGACGGAAAACTCTGATAATTCCGTCTCCGCCTCCTTACTGTAAAGACATAAAAAATGATCTCTTATGGAAATGCGCCTTTAAAAGTCTTTCTGAAAAATAGTTTATCTTGAGTGAAATGCGGCAGGTTTTCCCGACACAGTTCTCAGATGACGTCTGTCTCACGAAGGGTGCGGGCTGCAGCTGCTGAGCGCGCTGGTGGCCGCCCTGCCGTTTGGTTCTGGCTCTCAGCTGCTGATCTTCGGGGACTGAGGTCACCGTTCCCAGGCGGAACACGCTGTGCTGTGGCCGCCTGGGTCCCCTCTCCTGTCTTGGCAGACTCCGGCCGGCCAGGGGCGGGAAGGTCGTGCTAGCTGTGGGTGTCAACGTGCGTGGTTAGCTTTTGAAGAAATTATGCCTGAAAACAGGGTTTAGCCGGAGAGCCCTTCTTCTGAATTTGTTTCCTGCCCATACCCTGTACTCTTATACTGATTATTCCTTGAAGAAAGTCCAAAATCATTTACTTCTTCTGCAGTTAAATTCAGTTCATGAAACAAGTGTGGAGCCACTATGTGTACGTCGCAGTGCTGTGTTATACGAGGACCAGAACGGTGGACGGCCACGGTTTCTTTATTCAAAGAAGTTATAGCCTAGTGCAGAAGGACTTGTACGTAAATGTCACGGCATTAATTTAATTCTAAGAAGTGGAGTCTGCCTGAGCTGACTTAAATACAAGGGGCGACTAACCAGAGCAAGGAGTACAGGCAGGTCTCCCGAAGATCTCAGAAGCAGCCGCCCTGACCAGCCCGGCCGCCACGGGGCACCATTTCTCTGCCCCTTTCTACACACGAGCTGGACTGTTTTCTTCGCAGTAGCCGCCCGCCTGCCGAATAGCCTACACAGCCCCAGAGTGGTGCTGCTGGTCCCCTGCAGGTCACAGGCTGAAGTCTAGATCGCAGCACAGAATTTCTAGGGGGGAGGAAATCTCACTCATCTAGTTGGAGACTGTATTTGCCCTGGTCGGCAGTTTTCACTGGAGGGCAGGGCTCCGGTGTCCCGTGCCCAGGCAGCAGGGACTGTGGGGCTCAGCTCTCTGTGACGGGGTGTGGGTAGAGCAGACAGATGGAATTCAGGCCCATGTCTTCGAGCTCTCACGATAGTCTGAAGCAGAATATTATAAGTTCTGCCACAGGAACAAAGTCATTTTGTGGAAGTTTAGAGGAGGTGGATGAAGAGAGAAATCCAGGATTATTTCTCGGAGAATGGAAGCCTCTTGGCTAGCAGCTGGCTCCCTGGGAGTCCAGAGCAGACGGGAGGGGGCACGGCCAGAAGCAAGCAGTCATGAGAGGCTACTGCGGTAAGAGGAGATGGGGAGAACCTGCGGGCGGGGGGCTGCAGTGAGGGAAACAAACAAAGGGCAGCGATTCAAAGGAGACGAAGAAGGTCAGTTCTCCTAGGCGTGATGACCGATCGCAAATGGGGCATGAAGGAGGAGGACAGAATCTTGGATGAACTTCCCGGCTTCCGGCTTGGGTGCCTGGGTAGGTGGTGATGGCACTTGACCAGGGTTCTCTGAGAGCAGCCCCGGCTCCCGCCGCCCCCTCCCCTCAGGCCGTGGCTTGTCGTGGCCCAGGCTGGCCGGCTGGCCGCGGCTGCGGGCTCCTGCACGCCCCACTCCGTGTCCCGGCACGTGTGTTTAGTGAAGGACTCAGCTTTGAAACTTCTGTCACTTGTTCAGTGCAAAAGTGTTCTTTGATTCTGAAGTCCTCCCTCGTAGGTGCTTCTTCTAGTTTCTAATAATTCCATTCTCGTAGTTCTCATCTGTCCTTATTGTAATTGCTTATGTAAGTTGTTTTCTTGGCCATGAGCTCCTTTAGGATAGGATACTCAGTAAATGTTTGCTGGCCGGTCAGGCGGGTAGGTGAAAATGGTTTGATGACCCCCCACATGGACTAGGAAGGTGCTGTCTGATGATCAAGCTGGAAAACACGGGGGAAGGCGTTTGGAACAGGGGACGGTGGGAACCAAGGTTCTGTGATTCCCAAACCAACACTTGGTAGCAGCATGCAGCCAGTGTGTGAACTCAGGTGGAGAAGCCCTAAGCTAGGGTCTCTAACAAAAAGTTTAAATAGAACATACACATTATAGAATGTATCGTTTCAGTAGCTTTGGAAGGAGGCTTAAGGAGGCCATCAGTGTTGATGCCTTCTTCGGTGTGAGCATTGCTTCTCCGGCACCCCCGGTGGCACTCCAGTGTCTCTGGTGAAAGGAAGCCCCGAGATCGTTACAGTGCTGGAAACCTCTAGTTATTAGAAAAGCTGTTTTTCGTCTTGTTCTTAGAATTGTCTCGAGAGATCTCAGCTGAGCCTTGTTCCCCTCTCTGCACGGCCTCCACCGCCTTTCATGGGTCCCAGTCCTGTAATGTTATCAGAGACCTGAAGGTAATTCTTCTTAGTGGAACCTCGCGGGCTTTTAGGGATCAGTGCTTTTTATTGCGCATCGCAGCATAGCCTGTACTTTTCGTGTTTAGTCCCTACAGTCCAGGACATTTGAAGAGCCACATTGACTTCCTTGCTGAGATGATTTGTAATTGCATAACCAGATTTACGGTTCTAAGAGTTTCCCAACCCTCCTAAATCATCTTTCCCTTTAGAAACTCTCGCAGGAGCACTCGTGCTTGTATTTCCCCAGACCTTTGTGAAACCCATTGTCCTAAGGCCTGGAGTTGACCGTTCCGGACTCCCCTTCTGGGATGTCCTAAGCATGGAGGTCCCATCGTAGTCTCTTCTGGACTCGTCATGGTTTCTTTTTCTTGAATATTTAAGGATAGATCTTGAAGAAATTTGAAAAGTTTGCAGCAGCTACTGTGGGGAACATAGTTGTGTTTCTTGGCAACACTAAACACTAAACTGAAGATTTACCACATGAATTGACCTAGAGCAAATTGACATATTTATATTAT